GAGGCCCTGGGGTGGGTACCACGGGCTGGTTTGAGCAGCTGGTTTCCAGCTCCTTATGGCGTGGGCAGTGGTGGGGGAAGCGTGCTCCCCCCTGCACCCCGAGCCTTTGCGAGCTGAGTGGCTGATGGCCAGGCATAAGTGTGAAAATACACCCAGCATTTTTTATATTTTGGCTAGTTTTTGCACCTGGCATAGTTCAGCTTTCAGATTTTTATCTGCTCAAAAGTGCTAAATATGTTTTATGTGTATGTGTGTATATATTTTTTTTAATGATACAGCAGCATGTATACATTTCCAGGTCTGTAAGAGAGATGCTGAGATGGAAGGGGGATGCAGGGGAGTGAAGAACTTGTGGAAATCCTTCAGCTCGTGCTCCTGTTGGAGCTGTCACGTTGGCTTGACAAGAAGGGTGTGCGTTTGAGAGGGGCAGGGATTGCTATTTCTGGCAGCAGGAAAATGCACAGGCAGGGATGGGGCTGCCATTAGCTCTGGTGTTTTGACAGGAGCTGACGATCTTTTGTTTGAAACTGTGGGTGAAGTCAAAAATGGGTGTTTCGAAGCTGGTATAAAGACGGTGTGTAATTGACAATCTGAGCTGGGTCCCATCTAGATAATCGGCACAAAATCAGAAAACTCAGTCCTGGGGAAAGGAGCAGGTCCTGAACGTTGATGGTCAGCCTGCCCTGACTGGTGCTTAGCAGCGCTTGGGGGCCAGGGAGGGCTCTGGGCTTTGTTTTAATTGAATCTCTGTGTCCTGGGGTTCTTCTGCTCTGCTTCCCCTGTCCAAACTCGGCTGCAAACAGAATGCTTTAAGGAAAAAACCCAGAACTGTCAGAGACAAACCATGCCATCTGGTGGCCTTAATTTCTAACAGGGAACAGGTAAACGTTTGTGATTTGTAGCCAGAGGGATGGGTAAAATATCCAAAGCAGGATGATTCATTCAACCAACTGTTGTCAAACATGTCGGCATTGTTATTGTGCTGGTAACACAAGCTGAGGACAGTGTTGTTGCTCAGTGCAGAGGGGCAGGAAAGGAGCTGGAAGGTCATGCAGCTGAAGCCAGGCACATCTAAAAGATGCCTAAAGAGCCTTGGTGAAAAGCAGAATGACCGCTGCTTGGATGGTTGGAAACAGCTCTCCCTGGCAGGCGGGGCTTGGGATGAAAAGGTCTTCCTTTGGCATGACCCCAGGAGAGGCAAGCTTTTGACATTGAAGCTGGAGCCTCAATACTGATACTTAGAAAGCAAGCCCACCCCCTTTGGTGATGGTGGCCACTGGTGAGCAAGAGCTGTGAGGAGCCATCCCTGAGACCTGATGCAAAAGCTGCTGTGTCCAAGGAGCCGGTTGCTCCTTGTCTGAGTGAGGGCACAAGCCGCTAAGGTAGGAGCAAGCTGGGACTTTGAGGGACCTTCCTTGAGGGTCTCAGCTCCTGTAAGAGAGAGAAGACTGCTGAATCAGGAAATCTCCTTCCCCATGAGAGTTCAAGCCCTGTAAAACCACTGAATTTGTGCTTCAAGTGGTCCAGCCACATTTCTAATGGTGGGTGCTTCTCTGAAGGGTTATTCAAACTGGTGGTAAAGAAAGAAGCCAGCCTAGATCTGATGGAAATGCACTCCTCTAAATGTCATCTTTCAAACTGAGTATCAAACTGGATTCTTGACAAGCCGTGCCCTTATTGATCTTAATGGTGTGAGCTGAATAGGGTCATTGGTTTTGCCAAATTCTGCAATTAATCATTATTTCCTATTACATCGTACTTTTTCTCATCCATTTTAATTGTGTGCAGTATTTTTCCTTTCTGTCCTGAATCGTGGGGATGTGCTATTAAATAGCTGCTGCTCTCTGTTAGACCAATTTCTGCGATGAGCAGTGTGGTGGTTTAATACTCTTGTCTTACCTGGTAATGGAGTTGTGTAGTTTTCCTTGGTGTTTTCAAAACAATTTGAAAAGTTTAGATAGAAGGTGGGATAAAAGGCCAGAAGATGCTTATTTTTGCCTCCTTTGATCGCTGAGAGCCTCACTTAAGAAAAAAATCAAGTGACTCTGACTCACACAGTCATCAGGACGTATATATATATATGACCACTAATATTTTTGGATGCAGAAAAAATGCCCTCAGCACTTTGCTGAACAAACTGCTGATACGTGGCAGCTGTTCCTTTGTTAAGCCAAATACTAATATCGTGTTACTTACATCAGTCATTTTTGGATGTGTGGCTTTCAAGAAAGACCAAAACAAAAATAGCATTTGAATTGCAAGCTTAGAAATTGTGTGGTTTTACAGAGACTTCAGAGCTGACAAAAGAGGGGTTTTTATCGTGTGGCAAATGTTAGTAGTCCAAGTGCATAAAATGTGTGTTATATAAATAATGCAGCAGTATAGTTTGGCGTATGCTCTCTGCTTTCTGCAGAGGAGCCTGAAGCATTTTCTTGACCCAAATGGAACATGAAAATCAAAGCAATAAGTAGTCTACTGTTCTTTAAAGTAAAAAGAGCTGTAAAGAAAGTCTTGGCTTTGAGAAGACCAGTGTTTCTTTTTATTCAAGAGGAGAATAAAGCATTTGAAAAAATATTTAATCTGCTGTACACTTAGCTGTGGTGCTGATTCACATGGGATTGTTTAAAACGGAAAGTGAGGGTGATCCTCTTCTCACAGCTCTGCAGCAACCAGGTGACTGCAAGAGCAAACCTAAACCAACATTGCTTCGGATATCCCCTGCTACAAATGTTGGAGTAACAGGGTGGTGAATGCTCTGAGAAAATCAACAATGATGCTTTTGTTGCTGTTGTTGTTCATTTTTATTTATTTTATTTTATTAGACAACTGCTTTCCATTATAAATAAATAAGGCATGAAGGTTCTCCATACTGTTACAGAGCTGGTAGCCACAGTCGTGCATATGGCTCCTAATGTTTCTTGAGTTTGGGGCCACAGGGCACCTGAAAATGCAGAGTGTGGAAGA